TTTTACATGATTCACATATTTTATTAAAAATCATTATTAACGTACAGAATACATGATTCTACCCGTTTCATCGACAATGTGAAAATACTTTCCTTTATTCTATTATAAAAACAAAGAAAAGCTCTATGCGATCCGATTTTTGAAATTCATTGGAAATTATAAGACGGGACAGAAAGAAGATTGCCCTTCTTCTCTTCTGAATTCATCTGGTAATTTTATCGAGAATAAGATCGCTTTCAGAAACATATTCGCAGTACCACAGACAATTCTAATCTTTATGAAGAAATCTTTATGTCGGAAACGCCAACTTATCTATTTATCTAATCTATTTAGGAGTCTTGAAGATATTCTTACGAAATCTTGAATCGTAATATAATATATAAAATTACACAATTTCTTTCAATTCATTGAAAAGTTTTTTAATTTCAAATTGCAAATTAATTCTTTATTAATTTGCATTTAATATGCATAATTTTAATATATTAGGTGTTGGAATTAATTCGTAGCGTTTTTAATGAAAAAATGTTATTTATTTCACATGAGCATCAAAAAATACATTAATGAAAGTACTTCCCATCACTTGTAAAACGCTACGAATTAATTCCAACACCTAATATATTTGCTTAAACTTATATGAGCAAAGGAATATCTGAATAAAGTATGGAATATGAAACAAAATATGTTCCTTCTTTAAATTAAAAATATTGAAAAAGTTTATTTCTGCATAATTGTGCGTAATTAATTTAAAATTTAACTTTAATTTCATTATAAGGCAATTGATCCAGTAATCGTCACGTTAATCAAAACGCTTGACTTTGCATATTTATATTTTTCAGATTGAAAAGTGAGTGACTGTTATTTTAGGTTATTTTAAATCAATTTTTTGTAACGTATAAAAACATCACTCTAAAATTCTTATATTTACTGCCGTTGTTGAGAAAATCCTTCGTAAAAATTAGAAGGCGCAAATATAGTTATCGCCATGCCGCCATAATGGTTTGCCCAATAATTGTCATGGATATGTCCCACAAATTACCATACGTGTTTAACGATCGCATACATGAACGATGGAGCACTAAAATACATCTTTAATACGTGAACTTGGCGATTACTGATACCCTGACGATTTCTGGACCAACTACTCGTTTTTTTCCATTAAATTCAGCAACGGCATGACAATTTATAGAAAATTCGGACAGTTTGCTGTCGAGACTTTCGGCAGGCAGAAATAGCGGAAGGTGAACGGAAACTGAAACAAATAATGAATGAAGTACCGTCTTTCAACGTCAAAAAAAAGGGCATTTCTTCCGGCAGTGCAAATGAGCTGCGGACCTCGGCCGAAGTGCAATTATCTCGGGGGAAGTGCATGAATTCATCTCTTCTCCATGCTCGATGAGCGCACCGGCTACTCCGGAAAGATAAATATTCAGATATGCATAACAGGAAGAAGGCAAGGCGAATGCACGCCGCAGTCGCGATTTGTACGACCCGCCGACTTATTTCTTTCGTCTAGGATTCAGCGCCCGTTAGAAGAACATTAATTTCGCGAAAAGTCATCCGTCCTCCAGTGCCAAATGCGCCGGGTCGCATTTACAGGGATGTAATTATACGAGCATGCGTCAAGAGAGAGAACAGTAACAGCGGTCTGTTCTTCAAAGAGTCTAACGCACGTCAAGCAGAAAATTTAATACGACAGGAGCTATTTATTAAATAATGTTCTCCTCCTTAAACGTTGCATCCCGTTAAACAGGAAAATTTTCATTTTCGTGATAAAACGATCCTTTGCTATACACAGGGCTTACAAAAATTTGCCCGAGTCGCTTTATCGAAATTTATTCTGAATTATTCATTGGATTCGCCAATCTTATATACCCATCTACGTCTATGTGCCTGTCTGTGATAATCACGATCCGCTTTCTCCGCTTTTATGAGCGCGCGCTAAACGGCGATGCAAAATTCATTTAATTCGCACATTCGACTAATTATACTTTGCCTATTCTCTGCCGCCACGAGATTCGCGAGCCGAATTCGCTTTTGCGGTCCGCGTTACGCGGATGTATTAATAACTCACCATTGTTCCATCGCGGCGCGAAATCGCTGACGAATTCCGTTGAATTTCAAAATTCTCGATTAATTACACAGTTAATTACGCAGTCCCATGTCGCTCGCGCAACATTTCCAACGAGTCCCTCGCCACTCTCACCCCGGAACTTGTTGCGAGTCGACACGTCGCGTTCTCATTCATCTGACACACAAAGAGACTGAAAATGTGAAAATTATTAAACAAAGAAAATTTCTTTAAAAACTCCTATCTTTGAAAATATTTTACAGCTTTTCAGAATGTCATTCAGACAAAGATTGTTCTATTCAGAGAAATACATTGGGGACAGTTCTTTCCAATTTACATTTATATAATTGGATTAATGAACGATTTGAATTTTTTACTTATACATATATTAAGAGAAGAATGAAATCTTTTTATAAATTATTTTTGTATTAGAAATAATTGGCGTGTTTTATTGCAAATTTTGTATTAAACAACTGGTGATTTAAAATGATGTTAGGAAAGCGGATATCCGAAAAGTATGTCACTGCTATCCAGAGAGGTAAAATTTCCAGTTGAAATTTGATTAAATTGTTGATTTTTTTTTTATACAAATGTTCTAGAAATAAGCATGCATATTTATGATTATAATAACTTATACATTGTCGCAAAATTACAATCTTTTCCCTGTAGGCTTTTTTTTAGAAGACATTTTTTCGGAATCCGGTCGAATATCCGGAAAATGTCGGATATTCAAAGAAATTGCCTTTTCGGATATCCGATGTTACATTTTGCTCAGATATCCGATAATTTTACGATCCGGTGTATCCCTATTAAAAAAAGACAATTTCTACCCAAAAAAGTGTAAGTAAAATAGCGTTTTTTATAGATTTTATAGATTTTCCTGAGTACGATAATGATAATTAATAAGAAGTTCGGGATTGATTATTCTTTTGAGCAAAAATCAGTCCTTTTTTAATATCCCCCAAAAAAGCAAATTTTTGCTCAAAAAGATATAAGTGAAAGAAATAGCGTTTTTTGTAAATTTTGACCTTCTGAATATGATAAAATTATTAAAAAGTGACATTTCAAGGTGTTCCCTATCGATCCCGAACTTTTTATTAACATTATTGTATTCAGGTAAAAATTTATATTTAAAGAAACACTATTCCGTTTACTTACCCCTTTTTGAGCAGAAATCAACCTCTTTTTGACATCCTCTTTTCATCGATAAGATTGTGATAAACTAATTCTCGAGATAATTGCTCAATCATCAATATCAAACCATTTCCGGCAATATGTGCATTATGTGGAACATATGCAAATACGATCACCATTTGAAACGTTCGCATAAAACCAAATAACGAATCTGATCGTGCGGCAAGAGACAAATGAATGCGGTTAATAGAAACGTATACTACGGGATGATTGTTCCAAAAATGCACGTAACAGCTCGTGAATTCGCACGATGCATATTAATCGACAGTAATCGTGGGGTAACGGGAAATGAGGAGGGCTATAATACGGCTTGATTTGATTTTTCGAGTAATGCATTACTTATACACTTTAAATTTATGTAGCGTTGCGAATGACCGCAAACTGTTTGCGCAATTTGTCAAATTAGATTTCGATTAAATGAGTTTCGAGAAGTCCAACTTTGAATTAAAAAAATTAAAAAAGTGCGAAATAGAAGTTGTGTAAAAAATAAAAAGTCACTTGGACGACAGGTGGACATTTTGAATATATTTGAAATTAATTTTCTCGAACTTTTCTAATTGTTTACCTTTATTTATTTATTTGGTCACTTCCAGAATACGCCAGGCTCAAGATTGAGTCTTTTGTTCGAAAAGTAGCGTTACTGGGATAATAAAAAGTACTCACGTTTGCCGTTCGTCAGTCCAAGAAAAAGAAAGAAGAAGAAGAAAGACGCAAACCGCTCTCGCGACGCTCGTTCCAATTCCAGTACTGTTCGCCAAGAAATCAATCGAGGGTGCGAATGCCCCGACGCACGAGAAACACGTTGCCATTTCCTCTATTCCGTTGCTATATTACACTGACCTCAATTCTGCAAATCCGCCGAGGCTCCCGACGTTCCGACATAGAATTACGTCAAACTTGAGACTGTTTCACCTCGAAATATCTATCCCGTTCCGCGGTGAGGATTCTTTAACAATTTATGCCTAGAGATTTCGTATCTACCCATACAAATGACCTAGAAATGCATTATGATACCATTTACTATACCGCACGGTGAAATTTACGATTTTACAACACTTTCACGTAGATAAAAGCTAGAAACACATTTTAGTGTGTTACAAGCAGATGGAATTGTGAATTGATATCAGGACAAATAGATACATTTTATATATTTTTGACAGGTGAGATCCAGAAAGATACATAACCAGGAAAGTGAAAAATTAAAATCTAATTTATATTTGAAATGTAATTTACTATTGTGCTTGGAAATTTACAATATTCTGTAGTAGATAAAATTTAACATTTTTAAATGTATCATGAACAAATAAAATTATAATCCGATAGCAGAATTTAATAAAAATCTAAAAATTCGTAAAATGTTAAAATTTTAAAATATATACTTTTCAAAAGCTTGAACGAACAATATGTATAAAAAAACTGTAAAATAAATATTCGAAAAAGTAATCGAGTCGAATAATGTACTATGCAACCTCACATTTATAACAATTTCCACTTTATAAACTCCTTTATAACTGACAGTTTATTTTTAGGATGGCTCATATATAGGATAGATATGGCTCACATTATTCATAGTTGTTATTACAACCGCGAAAAATTAAATTCCTATATCTCGAGCACCTCTGTGCATCACATCCTCCTTGCTAACTGCTTTTCCGTACATTCCATTGAGTTCCATTGAGATCGTCAGATCGCTGAAAATAAAGGAGAAGTATTTTACAAGCACTTATTTCTGTTTCAGGTGAGCATCCGGCTGCGATGCAGCATGGAAACACGGCAGCCGGATCGCCCAACTCGAAAACGGTCCTGGTGATGCTCGCCTTCCTCCTAGGCCAGCTGAGATAATGTGCGTGTGCACGAAGGTCGCCCGAGACTCGTAAAATTGATGGACGTATTGCAACATGGTCGCCCACACATCCTAAATGTTAACCCTTCCGCACAGATCAATCTGAATTAGGTCTTAATTAATTTCATCGTAGCGGCCGAAAGATTAAATGATTTGCAACATTATATAATAAGCATCATAATGGCATAGTTACAAAGCAAGAATTTATAAGTTAATGAGAAGTTATTTATAAAAGTTTCTGATTAATACACAGCTGTGCGAATTTTGTGGCTTTAGGATTAATTGATTTTTGAAAAATAATATTTCATAATCACTGCAATGTCATGTACTATTTTCCGTTATTGACATGATTGTTTTCCATCGCGTTTATCATTTTATTTTATCGGAATAAGTTTTTTTGAATTCGTCGAAATCGCGCACGAAATGATAGACATGCAACGATTGTATAAATCATAATTTTTTTTCAACTCCAATTTCCATTTATCTCGAGACAGGAATTTTAATCTAAAAATATAAGCGCCGTTATGTTATTTTAATTGCGTGTCGTAATTTAAATACTCTCGTTATGTAGCGGTTATCTCGCTTCTCTTAATCTAACGCGAAAATTCCCATCCCGTTTATCTTAAACTTAACTGTGGGTTTGGCCGCTGGGGTGAGAAATACAAAGATAATCTCTAAGAGACAGCTCTTACGTAATAAAAGGGAAAGCTTTGTGCCTAAGGGTTAAGCGGAGTGTGAGGCAGTCGTATTACACGGTGTCTTAGAAGCATGAATTCCACGACGAATTTTCTGAGTCGACTTTTCCCAGCCGCGAAAGAATGAATCCAGAAAGAATGGACTTTTCATACATTTGTTATATAATACAGCGACAGTATTTACAGATGAGCTGTACACGTATAAAATGTTAAATAGCTGCGTAATGATAACCAGCGAATCGTATCTCCATCTCGAAAACATTCTCCAGTAATTGGCAATGTTGCACAAAAGATATTTTTACTTCAACTTGCGTCCAAAATTAATAATTACAGCACCGTGTGTAACAACCATTCTTTTGAATAACAAGCAGGTTTATTTTTTTTTTTTTAACTGACGATATATATTATGCGTTTCGACAAATATCATGTTTTAACGAAATTATTTTTTCAATATTTTTTCATTTAAAATTTTTTAATTTTTTTTGTTTTTTACAATCTATAACACGTCCATCAGATGAAATAATATCAATCACAACACAATATTGCTAGATTTAATTCCAATTTGTTTCTAACAATCGTAAACACCTAAAGGAAGGCAAACCCATTGACGTAATCCAACATAGTTATTTTCGCATAATAAGCTTCTTTTGCACTCTATATCCATAGGTAAGCAAAATAAAGCGAAGAGTAATGATAAAAATTTCCTATTCGTGAATACTTGATTAGCCAGAAGTTCGTTTGATTTAGCTCAGACATTAGTTTGTGCTTCGTGACTTAGCATCGGTACGATTTATTGTTGAAAATAATATGGCACGCGTTGAGCAACGATTTGTACGATCACGACAGAGCAGTCGAGAATTCTTATCATATCTACGAATGACGCAAAATGAAGTTATCAATATTAAAGAATTTTAGCAGCGACATGAGAGAGTTCTTAATTTCCTAATTAAGAATGCTTCGTACGAGAAGAATCAAAAGTCGCATTGTGTCGCTGTTGAAATTTTTAGGGATAATTGCGCCGTAATATCTAAAGCGACGCAAACGTAAGGGGATTAATGATAACGCGGAGTGAGTGTTGGCGCAGAGGAGACGTAATTGAGCGCGAGTGTCGCTAGAAAGAAGAGGGATAGCGAGCAGATAAAACAGGACTACGCCCCGCGCCCTTTCCCGACCATAGTGAGAAAAGTGTTAAGTGTAAAATAAATGTGTCACGAGCAAGTTTAACCGAAAGAGCGATGTAATAAAACGGGTGGACCGACCTCCACCGGCAGCGAAGTACTTTCTACTTATGACATAAGTGTTAAATGAAAATTTAAAGGAAAGACACAGATGACACGCGTACACACACATACACACACGTACAGATAATAGTAGAGAAATGTATGTAAACCACGCGACTTTACGGCTCGTATGATTTACACCCACGACTAGCCCGAAATGAAAGAAAAAAAAAAACTGTGTTTTCCCACCCGCTCACACCCTTCTCACTGTCTTGTTTTCACACGGTTCTCTTGCGAGAAAGCGCATTCTTGTACATAATGTTTTACTCTTGTAAATAAATTACCCACACAACGCTCGTCGATTCATTCTCGCACCGCCTGTCCGAACAGCGGTTTCCTCACTAATCAGGTATATTAAGAAACGTCCTCTTGATGAGAAAGAAAGGAAAAGAAAGAAGAAGAAAGAAAGAGAGAATTAATCTTGCTGGTCCGTCCTAATTTACTATACTTTTGGGTCAATATGATTAAAAAGGTAAAAAAAAAAATTTCACAGAAAAAGATTTTATATTAACAGACGAAGTCATCAAATATATCAGAGATAAAAGTTTTTTAATAAAATATTAGTAAGAGAATGAATTACATTTTGCGACGTACGGATCCAAACAGACACCAGCGAGGTTAATATATTTCTACAGAAATAGAAGACTGATTTTATTTCTTTATTATTTTATTATTATCAGAATTATGGCGTATATAGTAAATACAGAAATTTAGACTAAATGGACGATGTAAGTCTTAGTCTATCTCTTGGATGGTTGGCAATTCGGAGCTAATGGCAACGGCTGCGAGAAGATGGCCCGCGAAGATCGATAGCCATGACCCCGATGGCGCTCCCGAACTTTTCCCGTCGGGGATATTTAAGAATCCCCGGTTTCGGCTCATGAAGTCTCTCACTTGCAGACCATCCTCACAAAATAACGATGGCGCCCGATTAATTTCCTTTAGCTGCTCAATATCTCCGAAACGACATCGAGCGACGAGCTCCATTTGACCCCATTAGTCGAGTCGTTTATTCTGAGAATAAAAGGTAAGTGAATTTTGTTTCATAATTTCACGAATAAAAATATAAGTAATCAAAACTAGCAGCTTTATTAATTTATTAATTCTTTAATACTGGAAACAGTAGAAGCTTCCCAAGGAATACACAAAAGTCAACAAGAAAGATCAAAATGATTTTACTTTGATTCTTAATGTCAATAAACAGTCAAATTTTGTAATAAAAAAATCATTTTGACTTTCATAATCATTTTGACATTCTCTTGAGTATTCCTTGAGTTATAAAACCAGAAACTTGCATTTCAATTTTAATGAGAGATCGCTCCATAAATTTTAAATTTATTTCCGCGATATCTACACCGATTATCCACGTCTAGATATCAAAAATAGAATGATTCTAACGTCGTTAAAAACAAAACTTCTTTAATGGCTTCAAACTTACTCCGTCAGTTCGAAGTTTCTTCGTCGAACGATGTGTACATATATCGTAAGATCAGGTGCAGCCCATAGAATCGACATGCAGAAATCGATAATGGGCTACGGAACAATCAGATCGGAGGGATCTAATGAATATTTATGCACATCTATCGCCTTGCAAAGCCACGACAATCCATCGATGATATACCGTGAATTTTTTAAGAATATCGTGTCTCTCACGCTACACGCCAACCCAATATAGACGACTGTCGCTCGTTGCATTCACGATAGCGCAAATGGAACATGTATTACACACGAATGTAAAGGGAAGGAAAGTTAAAGGCGCATTTAGATGAAAAACGAGTATATTCCGCTAAAGGAAAAAAAAGTGTATGTGGTATTCAAACCACTATTTCCAATACCGGACCGATGTAACGTTCTTCGTAAAAAATAACCGAGATATGTTGCCCCTATTGAATTAGCTTACTAACTTTGCTCTTGCTAATAGCTTTCAATCATTTATAATATAAAACGAAATTCCTCGATATTGAAGCACTCTCGTGGTGTTTTATATTTATTTTATCTATGTATGTACGAAAGTATATGTTGTATTTGTAAAACTTGTACAATTTTATGATACTACTCAAGCAGAATAAAAATCAAATTTTAAATAAGAAAAATCGTATATTCAGTCAAAACCAATTTCAAGAAGAGACTTATATATATATTTTACGGATTTTGATCAGCTTTTGGTATTCTGAGGCACCAAAAAATAATCCCTATAAAGCAGTAAATTGCATCTCTACGATTTTCGAGAAAATCATGATTTTAGGTCACGATCGCTTTCAAACCTGAGGAAATCGATAGATACAATATTTAAAAAATAAATCATTTTTTTACATATGCATATATTAGGTTTGAAAATTGATAGTTTGTGAGAAAATTAGCATTCTTTAATTTCAACCGAAGCTTTAAAACACCTCGCGATCTGTTGCTATTCGTAAAGCGATAGAAATTGACGCAGATGGTACAGCATTACGGATCCTATACTCGGATTTATATGCTTATACATTCGTGTCCGCCGGAGATGTATTTTTCTAATTTTAAATAATTTCAAATAGCTCGTTTAAACGAAGAGGAAAGAGGTTTGAAAGCGATCTGACCTAAAATCACGATTTTCTCGAAAAATACGTAAAGGTGCAATTTACTGCTTTACAAGGATTATTTTTCGGTGCCCCAGAATAACCACGCGAAAAACTGATCAAAATCCGTAAAATATATATATGAGTCTCTCCTTGTTAATGCTTAAATATATATTTCTTGTGTGAATTTATGTACATTCTGATTCTGCATGAAATGTTTCCCAGATTTAAAACGCATTCATGAGCAGAACCAGAATAGTAACATCACTTATTAAATTGTAACACTTATATTAAAATCCTTCGACAGAATATAAGGTTCTTTTTATTTAAAATTTGATTTTATTCATATCGATCTAACAATTGTTTCATGGAATTCAAATCATCATAACATCAAAATGATGCGCTAAAATGATTCTAAAATTATTACTAAAAGTCACTTTTAAATCAATGGCTGCGTTCAGCAAAAGCAACTTTGCAACTGCTCTAAAATTCTTTAGTATGATTGGTTTATATATTTACGCGTATAATTTTTTAAATGTTTTCTTTTCCTTTCTCTTTTCTTTTTCTGATACAGACATGTTTTTGCCATTTTATTCTAATTAAATTGAATTTTGCTCTATTGGACTTAATTAGAATTGCTCAACCACACACATTTGACTTTCTCCTAACAAAATAAATACACGTGTAAATATATATACGTGAACATATAGTTAACCGTTGATGTTTCCGGTCTCTCGCATACTAAAGAACCAACTGTTAACTATGTGCAAAACTTTGATTAGGAGCGAGCGTGACTACTTGAAACGGTGCAAGCGAATCTGGCACTGTGAAAGTACGAAATGGCAGAGAATATTCAATGATACTTTTGTCGAAACAAATGTTATATAAATTCAGAAGTTTGAATTAATAATTTTATATATATTTAAAAAACATCACATAAAGAAATAGCAATACCATATATTGGCTTATAGATACAGAGCCCGCCGAAAGTCCCGGGCCATCTGAATAATTTCTGAATGGTTCGAGATATAGGATTGAAATTTACAAGGATACAATGGGATCGTAAAATCTATCATTGAACCTCAAAAACATCCAACTTAACATTCCCGAGGAAAGGAGTTGGATAAAATATTATAAAAATAAATTAGGCAAGCATAAAAATATCTATTTATTTTAACCTATTTATTTTCAGAATGAATCAGATTTTTGTGAAATAATGCGCAAATAATCAAATATTTACTCAACTTTGTGTTAAAAAAAAAAAGAAACAGAATTAATTCCAAGCTCATATATACATAATTCAAAGTATTCATCATCAAAATCCGTCAATCATGAGATATATTTCACCTAATTTGCATATCTAATTTTACAGAAAGGTGCAGTAATGCTCTCTTTGATAAAAAAAAGACGGTTTCGAAAAACTTTAGCTATGTAGATTATGGCATGCACAGAAAGCTGTTACGCGCTTAGCGGTAAAGTACGTGAAACGAGAGTATTAACGCATATTCGCTACGCTAGAATGCGAAATTGCGCTTACATGTCGCAGCCGTGTGTACGCATCATAATTAATGCGCGCAGATTAGGGGATTAAACTAACTGCTGTAACGGCAACTAGTAACGTTCTCAACCTAGATATGTAGCACGGTCTGACGATGACACTCAGTCGGGCGCGTTTCGCACAGATAATTTCTATATTTATCACATAATACCGGCGGAAGTTCGTCCTTAGAATAATTCATTCTCTCCTATAGCATGTCGTATAGCTACACTACCTCGCTATGCATGTGCGCGGTTTACATCAACATGAATTTATCATGCTTGTAAAATCGGAGTTGGTGCGTTAATTAACCAATAATGAGATTGTAACTTTATAATCTACGCGGAAATTTTGATTTTTCAACTCTTCAGTGCCACTTGGATATGATATACTCGACTTTCTTTTTCTGATGCTTTTCCATTGTTTATGACTTTTCTATCAATAAAAAAAATTTCTATCTATATTTACTTATTAGATATGTTCTGCTTCCTGTCATATTTCTTAATGTTTAATATTCTTTGATGAAAAAAAAAGTTTTTTACGATGTTTCATTTTTATGAAAATTATAATGATAGCATCAAAGGATTAAGCACGATTACAGAGTTTCAATTCTCTTTATTTTTCTTATTTTTTGATATATTTCTCGCGCATAATGTATAGCAAAGGTAAGTTTTACATGAGTTTTTCATTGGATTAAGATATATACCTATAAACGCAAGAAAATAAAAATTAAGATTATCGAACTGTGTATACACATCGAAGTGTACATACACATCACTACATCATAATTCTCAATTCATCCTTTATGTTTATTTATAAAGTTTAGGAAACTCCTCGTAAAACTCGATGTGTATTCGTAGATATGAATAATTTGATTGCAAATAAATTTGAATTACAAATTGAAATGAGCAGAAGTTAGTACATCAGCATGATTCCATTACATCGCGAAACTTTATACTCCCTCGTATTTAATTTGCTTTTCTTGTACTAACAAAAATCATATTTTATCGATAATTATTCAGATTAATGACTTTTTCAAATTTTGATATTTTTTGCGTCTTGACAAAAATCTTTATTGTGACTTTGTTGTCACAGTTGTGATAATTAATCGGGAAAATCCGAAAATATGTAACTTATATTTTTTAAGTTTCCTTCTCTCTCGCTTTTACTCGGCTTCATGTATACAATAGTACAAGACAT